GAACCCGATGTGGGGCTCGATCCCACGACCCTGGGATCATGACCTGAGCTGAAGGCAGACGCTTAACGACTGAGCCACCCAGGCGCCCTCATGTGATCTATTTTTAATGCTTCAGGCTGTCTGGAAAACAGATGTTACATGAATTGTTTATTTATTTTTAGAAAGAGCACATGCAGGTGTGCCCGCAAGTGAGGTGGGGGGCAGGGCAGAGGGAGAGAGAATCTTAAGCAGGCTCCTCACTGACCCACACAGGGCTCAATCTCGCCACCCTGAGATCATGACCTGAGTCAAAATCAAGAGTCAGACCCTCAACCAACTGAGCCACCTAGGCGCCCCTGAATTGTATATTTAAAGTATGAAATAACAGTGCCCACTTCTCAGTCCCTTTTGCAAGGTCCACCTCCTCATCCGTCTTAACCTTGGGTCATTCTTGTATGATCACTCCCTGGATGTTTTCAGCCTCTTGCCTTTATCTGCCCCTAAGACCTCTGTCCTGAACTCTCTAGACTCTTCTATATAGCTGCCTACTCCACATCTCCACTTGGATGTCAGAAAGGCTTCTCACACTGACTGAGTCCCAGACCATCCCCTCTGCCTGCTTTTCCTTCTCTCTTCCCCATTGCAGTTAATGACAGCTTGTTGGCCCAGTTGCTCAGGCCACCAACGTGGTAAGAAGCATCCTGACTTCTCTCTTTTTCTCACATCCATGTTGAATCCATAAGCAAGTTCTGTTGTCTCTGCACTTAGAAGAAATCTAGAATTTGACCACTCCTCAGACTTCTACCCATTTCCCCTCCTTCCATCCAAGCCACCATCATCCTGTACCTGGATTATTTTGGTAGCCTCCCAAGTGGGCTCTCTGCTTCCGCACTTGCCCCCCTCCCATCTCTTCAGTCTGTTCACAGCACAACAGCCAGAATACTGCTATTAAATTCTTTTTTTTTTAAAACTTTTTATTTATTTATTCATGAGAGACAGAGAGAGAGAGGCAGAGGGAGAAGCAGGCTTCCCGCTGAGCAGGGAGCCCGATGCGGGGCTTGATCCCAGGACCCTGGGATCATGACCTGAGCCGAAGGCAGTCGCTTAACCAACTGAGCCACTCAGGTGCCCCTATCAGTTACTTTTTTTTAAATTATGTTCAGTTAGCCAGCATATAGTACATCTTAAGTTTTTGTTGTAGTGTTCAGTGATTCATTAGTTGCGTATAACACCCAGTGCTCATCCCAACACATGGCCTCCTTAATACCCATCACCTGGTTACCCCATCCCCCCACCTCTCCCTTCTGTAACCCTCAGTTTGTTTCCCGGAGTCCAGAGTCTCTCATGGTTTGTCTCCTTCTCTGATTTCTTCCCATTCAGTTTTCCCTCCCTTCCCCTGTGATCCTCCATGCTATTGCTTATGTTCCACATATGAGTGAAACCATACGATAATTGTCTTTCTCTGCTTGACTTATTTCACTTAGCATAATCCCCTTCAGTTCCATCCATGTGGATGCAAATGGTGGGTTTTCATCCTTTCTGCTG